TATAAAACGTTTCGTTTTTCCCTCAAGGGGGAGGCCCATTGGTTGAAAGAAGCAGTAGTATAAAATCCCCATCACAGTCCGATTGCTTTGTATGACGTGAAGTGTAAGGTAATTTAAAACAAAATCCTTATTCCTTTCGCGGATATTGCGTGAGCATACCTTATAAATAGATTGATATGGTTTAGAGATGGAATTGATACAATTCATAGCGAGTAATCTCCTTAAAATTGCAAATTGTCTTCACCATGCGAGCGGTTGACAGTTCGAACTTGGTACGCCTTGAATACCCAAGTCGCAGGTAAAAATTCTTTTGATAAAACCCTCATCACTGGGGGATTTTTGAAAGAGGAACCGGCTTGTTTTCGAGTTATGCTCTTATTGGAACTTCTTCGTTTTGCATGACATCTGCGGCGATACACACTTGGCAGAGCAACGCTGATATCGTCGTCCTGGACCATGAACCCTTGGTTGAATCGCCACTTCAGCAGAACAGGTCATTGGGCTCTTTTCAGATTCTCGTGGTTTCGACACCTTTGATTTTTCTTTTCTACTCACACGATTCACCACAATTTTATATTTCAATTTTCTTTAAATAAATTTCAGCAAATATATAAATTCTTCCTCTTGTAGTTTCTTTACGTATCTAAAAGTGTTCTGATGGGGGCGTTAACCTCTTGTTAGAACATTCTTGAAAGGACATCTATCATACGTTCAACGCACAAAATCACCTGCAATCATTACCCTGCGACAAAAGAAGAGCCACGCCGAAGTTGCCCTGACACTATTTTTATCTCAAGAACCTTGGTCCCGTAACCTTGGGTTCGTAATGACATGTTTATTAAAATGGTTAACACCATAAATCACGACGGACTTCCACATTTCACATTAAACCATGCCAATATTTACTTGTCCTTTACGATTATTTACTCTTCTAGTAATTCGATAATATAACTTTTTATGGTGTATGTCTTTTTTCTGACAATAAAAGTTACAAGGAACAATTGTTTCTTTGATAAAAAGAATGACATTTCAAAATTTCTGGTGATGTTTCTTTCATTCTTACTTATATTTCTTTGTATTGGCTGATCCTTTTGTTTCTATGGAAAATCAATTTCATTCTGCCCAACTAGTGCAGTATTTAAAAACACCAGCTGTCATAAATCTCCAAGACGCATATATGTCTATATATATTTTTGTTTGTTTTTGTTTTAATAAAACGTGTTTCTGCAACCTGGAAAACATTTCTTGCAGGAAGTTCCCGAAAAGAATTTTCCTCCTCCGCAATGACATAAACGTGCCGGATAGTTGCGAAAGAGTGGTTTGAGGATGGTCTGCTAGTGGGACAACGGTCCTACTATTATTAGACGAGTCGGTAGACGTCTCTCCTTGGGGGGAAAGTACATTCCAACCTGTTTAGCTCGCTTATTCTCTTTCTCTTCCTTCCTTTTCCCATAAAAAAATCCAACATTATCTAACAGGCTGACCTTTTGAAATGGTTAAAATTAAACCTTTAAAAAAATTTATTTGATAGTTGTTGAATTATTCGATAACTGTCTATCACCTCCTAACCTCTCGAACCAGGAAACCTTAACTTATTTGTTTAGTTATAACTTAGAACTCCTTCGCTTCAAACAAAACACTTTTATGGGTTTTTATTTACTAGCCAGGAAATGAAAAGTTTGTCACAGTTGTAAGACAACAACATCGTTGTTCAATTTTTGACAACTGACAACACTCAAACAGTAGAAGTTGTAGGCTTAACTGAGACGATCAATTGTGGACTTTTGTCACTTTTTTGAAATTCGTTTGTTTAAATTATATCATTGTAAACTATCCATTATATTTAGTGTATGATGGTCCAAATTACTTCTTTCAATTAATTATCATTTTTATATAAGGTTTTGGTTGAAATGAAAAAGTTAGTGTCACGAGCGGGATTCGAACCCACGACCGATCTTCGGCTCAATACCCGCTGTTCTAACCACGTCACACGATAGCTCAAGTGGTTAGAGCAGCGGGGTATTGAGCCGAAGGTTATGGGTTCGAATCTCGCTCGTGACACTAACTTTTTAATTATAAACCAAAATTAATTATAAACTATGTTTGTTTTTAAAATTCATGGTGATTCTACATTTTTCTTTGAGGGAAAATAAGAAACACTCATTACTTATCATAGATGATTATTTCAATTAATTATTCTTTTATCTAAGGTCTTAGTTGAGATGAAAAAGTTAGTGTCACGAGCGTGATTCGAACCTTGAGCTAGACCTTAGATAAAAAAATAATTAATTGAAATAATTAATATGGTCAATTATGACCTCTAAAATGGATTAATAAATTATTATGTTTTTCTGCAAAATAAAGGGTAAAGGAAAATGTATTGGTTCACGAACTATAGGTTTTTCAACCGAGTAAATATTGTGTTTTATGAGGCTTTCCTAGCTGTAGTGTAACCGGCCTCTCGTGTTACTCCATGTGAAAGGGTTCTTTGAAGCCCCTCGGCGGTGCGAACCGATTATCCGTTTTTAAAATTCCATCTTCTGTGGAAAAGGCCTTGCGTACAAAATCCACTTAAGTCGACGTACTGCCAACGTGAAAATAAAGTTGTTTAAACAAAATTGGAAATTGTATCCTGATAACACATTGCAGAGTGTGCCGTTGGCCGAAAAAACCATTGCGTACCCCCTGTTGTCATTCAGATGGAAGGAAATTGTTTGAGAGTGTATGATAGTGTCGGTCAAAGTGGATTACACGAGGAAATCCAATCTGTGAACAACTTTAGCCTCAGGGGGTTGAGTAAAAGGGAAATACGAGATATTTGAAACAGTAATCACCCCTATGGCTCCCATCTGACCTAGGTCAATCAACCCTTTCACCTATTTTCTATTTTACCAACGAGTCATCTTGTTTCCCATCAAACCACAGAAGTGTCGAAATGATTTTATGAGCGTTACTTAAACCAGCATAAAAACAAACCATTCACAATCGTTAGTGGGCCATAAGATTTAGATATTTTTGACCTTAAGTCACAGAAAATCGTACATACACCGTATATAATTTTAGATATAAACCAATTGAATGTTTGGAATTGATAACATCTACTAGTATAGGCTTAAAGGGTGTACTTTGGTAGGTATAATTTTGCCTTAAGTTAATCATAAGTTATCAGTCCCTAAAGAACGTTTTAATAATTGAAGCTTTTCCTATTTCTAGTGTTTGTAATTTGTCAAGAAAGTGTTATTTATTTATTACTGAATTTTTTTCTATATCGGTACCTTAAATGTAATCACCATCATTCTTGATTACTGATTTATATAAGCTCATATTATTTCAGTATATATTCAACTCTGCATATATTCGTTATTTCGTTCATCACACAATGGATTAAAAAAATACGAAAGGAGAAGTGGATAGTCTCTAGGGGTGCTAGAGAAAGTAAACTTATGCTAAAATAACCTCCATCAAGACTTAATTTCTACAGTAAAAGAGGGCTAAACTCAGAGGAGTGATAGGACTATTTGCCAGTCACTGACATCTGAGAAAATATCTACACAACATGGTCATATTCAATGATATATCACCCATATCATCTTTGAGTGCAAAGCAACCGCTCAGTGAAGATATAACCTTGGGTGCAAAGAAAACCTAGGGAATGGAATTTGTAGCAACAAAGTCAATCACTTTATACTCTTTTAGAGATGGATCGCGTCGACACTCTGAACTAACGGACTAGGAAAGTACAATAAGCCAGAGGGCTAATATACTTAGGGAAAAAAACTCGCACTTGCTAGTTTCCCTTCATTATCAATTATCATATGTACAAACTACACACGTTTACAGAATCGAACCTATGACGTTGCGACTCGCCGGCAATATCTGCTTTTGTGTAAATTAAATCAATTACCGCAAGAATCACCTATCTCAGCAGTCAGAACTCGGCTTTACCTGTCTTCTGCTGCCGAATTTTGGCTCGAGGTGCTGTCAACGCTGGCCATTTCAGCTGCAAGGGTATTAGTTTTAAATCCAAAACCACCGATTGGACCAATTGGATTTAAAAAATGGTAAACTGAATTTGAGGGTGTAGCAGTTGAAGATCACAGTATGTTTTGTGTTTTCGGAGCTTAAAGGGTTTTAAGGAATTCCATACGCCGTTCAACAGAATTCAGGATGGACCAGACTTGGAGCTCACAATGCATTAGTATGTGACGTTTCCTCAGCAAACTTCATTAGCCCAAATTTCGCAGTTTGGAGAGAGTTGTGATGGACATTACGGGCTCCGGCCATAATAATAACAAAGCCATTTTCCCAAGCCCCGCGAGATCAATTTCACTTCTCAGCTCATGAAGTATTTATTTTTAACAATCGAAATAATATCAAATTTGTATATGTATCAAATAATATGTCGTCAATATAGAGCCCTCACTAAGAGTCGTGGAGTACTTGATGTTACACCATAGGCCCTCTTACTGCACATTCACGCTAGTAAATACACTCGATCTCAAAAGACATCTATTATATTCAACAACAATTATGTCAAGTAGGACACTTCCGTTTCCTAGACCATCTGCCGTGCTTAAGCACAATTATCATTTCGGGAGGCATTCCTACATGCTCTCTACAACGTAGTCAACGAATCGCACGCTTTAATTAAGTGGGACACATCGAGAAACTACGGACCACGTACGCGGGCTTTGGCCTATAATCATTATTGCGTATTTGCATTTCTACGTCTTATTTAAATGGCAATTTCTTTTGTACCATTCAGCAAGGTTGTTGTTATCAAAATTGTTTTCGTTATGAAATCCAGTTTATAAAATATTTCCTTGTTTTATCTGTTTATTGACACTTTTCAAGGTAGCAGATTTCCGAACCTTGTAAAAAGTGTCATCATAACTTTCAACCTTTTTATATTTATTGAACTTTTTCTCATAAATTTAAGTATTTTTATTTTTTTAGTATTATTATCGGCCGGTTTATTTATGTTGAAAATTTTGTTTCAGACATTCCGGACATCCCCGAAAACATCAAAAATCTTCAGGCGCTTCAGGTGGCGGATTTCAGTAGTAATCCGATCTCGAGGTGAGGCCAATAAAAATAAAGAACATTTTAACAAGCATAAAGCAATTTTAATTTTTTCAAATGGCGTTATTTTTTCTGAAATAATTTTCCCCTGGACACTGTTTGGGGCTGGCCTTGTTTTGAATTGAATTAAAAAAATATTACGTGAAATATATTATTGTATTTAAATATTCAGAAATCGTAAGATGCGGTCTGGTGTGATGTAGGTTTCAGAAAAACATTTTCTTTATCGTGCCAACGTTTCGATCTTTATTGAGATCATCTTCAGGCCCTGGGATTTACAAACATTGTTTACCTGAAACCTACATCACACCAGACCGCATCTTACGATTACTGAATAATTATAGATTAACGGTCACTAATCACCACACATTGTATTTAAAGTTTTATAAAATTAATTATTATCATTATTACAATGAAAATAGTCGATAAATCATGAAAATTTGGACCAAATAAAATAAAATTCAATAATTGAAAATAGTTCAAATTTATGCAAAAACTATTCACCGACTCGCATACCAACAACTACCATCAACGTAAAAAACGAAACAACTCTCGAGCTGGTTCTCTAGCCATCCATTTTTCTTTAAAGACATAAATGCAAAGTGGCTGAAAAATACTTTCTCCCCTACTCACTCCTTCACTTTTCGCTCGTTCACTCTCTTAACTCAATTAGTGCGTATAAACGCAAGTTGGATAATTTTTAAGCACCATAAACCTTAAAGTGAAAGACTTTAAACGAAATTGACTGTACAATTATCTACTTGTATAATAGTTATTTGCGTTGATAATAGTGAATTATGGGTTTTTAATTTTCTTAAATTGAGATAAACACTGATGCATTTATTTTTTATCGCCAAATTTGTGTTCGAGTCTGAAATATATACGTCCAGCTATAGAGCCGTATCGTAGAAAAGGAGATAACTCAAATTTCACTTACTTTTACACTGTTTTATTTTCGAATGCGCCACTTATGTAGGCCTTATCGCTTAACATTATATTGACCACAGCATCGTTTTACATTACATATGAAAATAAGCCAATTACGTCAAAGATAACGTCAGGGTATTAAAAAAAGCTTCCTTCGACTAACATACCACCAAAAGCTCACATTCATCGAGCCCACTTTTTCTTTTGAAGTCTCTCCAATAACATTCGCACTGCAGATTGATGGTGGCCTTTTTTACGTGGGTATTCCTGAGGATAGACCGATATCGGACTTCTGTGGTCGCAGGTTTTATCATTTCCACTTATAAAAAACGTCAGCATGAAAAATACCTCCTTTTAGCGTTAGTTCCTAAAAAAGGTTCTTCGCAAAGGGAGTTATGCCCATCTTGACATCGTTTGTTAATACTTATTTTTGCTGACTGGAGTTTTTTCTTTCTACGGGGAACATTTCCTGCTTATATACAAAGCAAATAGATGAAATGAATCTTCCAATGTACCTAGACAATAGGCCTGTCCTTTCTCCTTCAGACCTCTTTTGTTGATAGTTGTTAATCAAAATTCCAAGTGCTTTGTTTAAAAATAATCTGTCTATCATTGGGCGATAAAAGGAGAATTTTTTCTTCCTTTTGCTATTTATTTTATTTTTTTTATGTATCGCTTAACATTATGTTGGCCACAGCATCGTTTTAAATTACATATGAAAATAAGCCAATTACGTCAAAGATAACTGATTCGAAACAGAGAAAAGATTGGAAAACGAATTTGCGAAATTGATAAAAGCTCCCAGTTAACTTAAAACCTGCCCCCTCGACTAACGTACCACCAAAAGATCACATTCTCATAGAGTCCACTTTTTTATCTTTTCAAGTATGTTCAATAACAGTCGCACTGCAGACTGATGGTGGACTTTTTTACGGGCATTCCTGAGGATAGACCGATATCGGACTTCTGTGGTCGCCGGTTTTATTAATTCCACATATAAAAAATGTCAGCAAGAAAAATAGCTCTTTTCATGTTTAGAAGTTGTTAGCTCCGTAAGAAGTTCTTCGCGAAGGGAATAATGCCCATCTTGACATTGTTTATTAATACTTTTTTTTGCTGGCAGGATTTTTTCTTTCTACGGGGAACATTTCCTGCTTATATACAAAGCAAATAGTTGAAATGAATCTTCCAGTGTACCTAGACTATAGGCCTTACCTTTCTCCTTCAGACCTCTTTTGTTGATAGTTGTTAATCAAAATTCCACGTGCTTGGTTTAAAAAAAAATCTGTCTATCATTGGTCGATGAAAGGAGAATTTTTCTTCCTTTTGCTATTTATTTTATTTTTTTATGTATCGCTTAACATTATGTTGGCCACAACATCGTTTTAAATTACATATGAAATTACGTCAAAGATAACTGATTCGAAACAGAGAAAAGATTGGAAAACGAATTTGCGAAATTGAAAAAGCTCCCCTCAGTTAACTTAAAAACTGCCCCCTCGACTAATGTACAACCAAAAGCTCACATTCTCCACTATTTATCTTTTCAAGTATTTGTGGTCGCCGGTTTTATCAATTACACATATAAAAAATGTCAGCAAGAAAAATACCTATTTTCATATTTAGAAGTTGTTAGCTCCGTAAGAGGTTCTTCGCGAAGGGAATAATGCCCATCTTGACATCGTTTATTAATACTGTTTTTTTGCTGGCAGCATTTTTTTCTTTCTATGGGAAACATTTCCTGCTTATATACACAGCAAATAGATTAAATGAAGCTTCCAGTGTACCTAGACAATAGACCTGACCTTTCTCCTTCAGACCTCTTTTGTTGATAGTTGTTAATCAAAATTCCAAGTGCTTAAAAAAATCTGTCTAACATTGGGCGATGAAAGGAGAATTTTTCTTCCTTTTACTATTTATTTTATTTTTGTATGTATCGCTTAAACATTATGTTGGCCAAGCATCGTTTTAAATTACATATGAAATTACGTCAAAGATAACTGATTCGAAACAGAGAAAAGATTGGAAAACAAATTTGCGAAATTGAAAAAGCTCCCCTCAGTTAACTTAAAAACTGCCCCCTCGACTAACGAACCACCAAAAGCTCACATTCTCATAGAGTCCACTTTTTATCTTTTCAAGTATGTACAATAACATTCGCACTGCAGACTGATGGTGGACTTTTTTACGGGCATTCCTGAGGATAGACCGATATCGGACTTCTGTTCGCGAAGGGAATAATGCCCATCTTGACATCGTTTATTAATACTTTTTTTTTGCTGGCAGGATTTTTTTCTTTCTATGGGAAACATTTCTTGCTTATTTACAAAGCAAATAGATGAAATGAAGCTTCCAGTGTACCTAGACAATAGACCTGACCTTTCTCCTTCAGAGCTCTTTTGTTGATAGTTATTAATAAAAATTTCAAGTGCTTGGTTTTAAATAAATCTGTCTTGCGTAGGGCGATAAAAGGAGAATTTTTCTTCCTTTCACTGTTTTATTTTCTTATGTACCGCTTAACATTATGTTAGCCACAGCAAAGTTTTACATTAAATATGAAAATAAGCCAATTATGTCAAAGGTAACTTCAAAGTATTAAAAGTCAGTTTTCCAGGATTCCTCCTTCAACTGGTTCGAAAGGGGATTCTGGTTTTTCAAAGCGTTCCGGTAAATTGTTTTAATCCGGGCTTGGAAAATGGATTTGCGAAATTGAAAAGCTCCCACTTCATCCGAGATTCATTCCCCCCCCACGATAAATATTTCTTATTCTTCACAATCCCGTTCTTTTGTTTTCTGTTTGACAGAAAAATCGAACATTTAACCTTTTCTCTGAAAATACAGTTTTCCCGATCGGAGGATGGACGTGATTCTTTATTCTTCTAATTTCCAAAAATCCCTTTTATATTTGGGATCCCCCACCGAAGCTAACTGCCAATTCAAACAGGACACATTGATATTTACTAAAGTAAAATTAAAAATAAATGACGTCCAAACTATGGGCTAATATTTGCATGGCTCAAATTACAAAATTACGAGAAGTTTAATAAAATCTACTAAAATTAGTGTTAATAATCTTTTATTAAAGCTAAACTGAAAAGGATTCATCTTACTAAAACAATCATCCACTTTAAACAAACCACTATTTATTTCCCTTTATTAAATTGGAATTAGTGTATAAAACAAAGTAATGAAAAAAAAATCTGTATATGCAGAGATTAAACATCAGTCCTTGTTTGTCCAACAATTTAACAAAATGGCTGGTGTAAATTACAATATAAATAAGACAAACTCAATCAATCAAGACACCAATGATATAAGTTATTATTGAATAATTTCAATTGTAGGGAGAAAATATCTTAAACGTCAGAAACATTTACAATTGGCCTTCACAATTGACCTCAAACTTCGCAGAACTCAATAATATTAATTGCAATACTTGGAGTTTTACTGAGTTCATAAATCATAACTCGGCTTTAAGCACGACCGAATGCAATTACTCTCATTTTCTTCCGTTCTTCCTTGAACTTGAAAGTTGAGAGTCGCTCATAAAAAAATATTCATTAATTTTAAAAACAAGATTTGAGATTAAAACAATCAATGTCACGGGTAGGATTCGAACCAACGGTCTTCGGAAAGCAGCCACAATGAATTAAAACTACATATAGGTCACACAATATAAATTGTTACGCTATATAACTATCCTCATGAATATTTCCGGAGGAGGGAATTTGTCCGGAAATATGCGTAGAAGTGTATAAATTTTACATACGTTCGTGTTATTTTCAATCAAGCTTCGACCTGATTGCTGTAGATCGATAAATATTTCCTCAAAGATTACATAACGGTTTACAATGAAAGTTGCAGAAGTTATTCCATGCAAACGTACATACAGGATGAGTTAAACTTCTTTGATATTTATCTTTCTTTCTTTTCTTTTTTTTGTAAGCATTTTGGGGAAAAATCCGTAAATTTTCATTTTTTGTCTAGTTTCTCTTGACCATTTTATCATTAATTCTTTAAGTTCGTATTTGTGGCCCAAAATTTGCACTAACCTAAATTGCGCTTTAATGAGTTTCATTCAGGGCATCCTGTTAATTGATGCTTTTTGAGGAAATTGTTCCGAAATTTTTCTTTCTTTTAATAATTTAATATCAATTAAAATTATAAATAAATAAATTGGTGATTGGGCAAGACTTTGCTTATCTGGAAAAAAAAAAAAAAAGTGGAAAAGGTTATTTGCAAAAAAATCTATTCTAAGCATTTTTTTTGCAAATAACTTGCGAATCGTTGCTCCAGATTAAAATCTGTGCAGTTGAATAAAAATTCTTTAAAAATGTATATTGATCAGTATCTTCTCATTTGAAATAGTCAAATTCTTATTCGTATCTCGTTATGCTCTGGTGAGTTAGATCAAAAATTTTTGGCTCATGATAAAGAACAAAAAATAAAAATTTACATGTCACGGGGTTCATCACAAAAATGCCCTAATAAAAAAAATAGGGGGAAGGGTGAAACAGACAATGTCACTCTGTACTTATATCATACAAGATCGTGAGTAAATGGCTAAAACTTTTTTTTGTGTATAATTTTTTTTCCACTGTGAAAACCATAGGAAATTTATTTGATCGATGATTAATTAGTTTACTGATCGTTATTATGTAATACTTTTATTTGAACACTCCTTGTTTTGCCTGGTTAGGACGCGCTATGTCAATAGCCATTTCTCAAATCAATTTTCTACCTTAGAGGAAAATTTATGATGTATAAAATATATTTTCCGTTTTATCTCTTTTTACAAGCATTGTAGAAACGTAGTTATTGTTGAAATTTTTTATATTAGATTTTTTAGATTGAATAGCAAAATCATTTGGGTTTTAATACTCTACAGTGTTAAACAAAAGGATTTTAAGAAAAAGTTCAATACATTTCGTTGTTAGGGTTATTTTGTTGGGAGAATTTACTTAATTATTATTATTTAGTGTCATAAATAATCACTTTTTTTAATTGAGAAAAATTCACATTGGTCAATTGTATGTCTTTTATTAATTATTAAAAAGACAAAATTTTAGCCATATAACTAAAATTTCTGCCAGAACAAAATGTTCTTTTTGACCGTACAATTTTATGCTTAACATTTTATTGCAATAAAAACAAAGAAAAACCACCAGATTGCTCAAAAATTTTATATATATGTTACACCTGTAGACAGGCCCAGCTATGAATCCTAATTATTTGAAAACAGTCTCAGAGCTATTGATCAAAACTGAATACAAACAGATTAGTTGCCTTTTTATAATAGAAATTAATCAAAATTTCAATAGAAATTTATTAACTCTACAAGAAAACTAATAATAATTAACACAAATTAAATTTCTTTTTTTCCTTTCTACAGTCAATTTTTTCCCATTTAAACAAAGAGGAATATTATCTCTTAAAAACTATGTACAAACTATTTGCCAGCACATATGGAAAACAAGGGATAGGTACTCACCACTCAATTTTAATTTAATTTATTTTTCTTCCATACTGAGTTTTAGCATCCCACACTTCAGCTCTCTCATTTAAGAATGAAGCTCTGTGATCTCTCTACCCTAAAAGTGGGGATCCTTTTTTTTCAAGCACTGTACTACTAATCATGAAGTCCAAATTACAAAGTTGTCACTATGAAACAGATTTGAAGTATGACATATATAATTTGGTTTTTCATATAATGAACTGAAAAAGTTATATGGTTGTCAAACCCCTCAACCCAACACTTGTAGGGGTTTGAGACCCATGAAAATATTTACGTGAATATAATCAACAAGTTTCAAGTTACAATGCTTCTAGGTTCTTAAAAGATGTTTTTAATAAAACTTACACTTGCTTCTTCAGTTAACAAAGCTCAAAGAACTTTAATGTCAGTTCTATATTTTTGTTTGAAGTTTGCCGACTCCTATGTGTTTAAATCTTTGAAGTGGCACAAAAGATCATTTCAAGTAATATTATAGCAAAAAAATGTATTTCACTGTTTGTTTGTTGAATTTGTTTCTCCCTCTGGTTTTCAATTATTTTTATTAAATCCATTTTATTTAGTGGTCTTTTGACCAAATTACTTCTTTCAATTAATTAATCTTCTTATGAAAAGTTTTGGTTGAAATGAAAAGATTAGTGTCACGAGCAGGATTCGAACCCACGACCTTCGGCTATTATTTTAATTATTTAAATAATTTGCAATGTAACATTATAAACATTAATTCTCCCAATTTCATAATCAATCCTTTAATGAAAGAAACGTTGAGGTCATTTGATCCAAGAACTGGAAAAGAAAGATTCCGTGAGTAGAATGAGCGGAAGTGGTTTGAATAATTTGAACTTGACAATAAACGCAAAGGGAGCAAGGTTCAGGGTGACTATCTGTATTTTCAATGGGGATCTACAACTGTCAACCAGATTTACAACACAATTTAGAGAAAGTTAATAGAGCATGTTTTTAGTTCTAGATGAGTTCACCTTTGTCTGTTAACCTGCCTGGAATTATGTTGCTTCTCATAAATTGCAATGTATGTATATGTTGTATGCATTGACAGGTATACTAGTATCCCTCAAAAATTTCTCAAAAGCAGGGTACTAACCCACTGGATGGTCCCCAGACAAACATACCGCCGAAAGCTCACATCTTCGTCAAGGAATTGAATCATCTGTTCAACTGTCTCCAGAAGAAGAAAAAAAAATTGGTTGTTGATATAGTTGTCCAAAATAAGATTCTTCCTAAAGAGCATTTTGTCAATCCCGACATAGTGTACTAATTTTTGGCAAATGGAAATAATTTTGTTTCAATAGAGAACACTTCCGAATATATAAAAAACTAAAAGGGGACTGGGGATGATGGAGTGGTTACAGCGTCAGACTCTTATTTGCCATACTAGTGGCTCTGGGTTTGAATCCTGGCATAGCTCAGCTCTTAAGTTGATCATAAAATGAAAAAGAAAAATTATAAAGTGCTTTGACCCATTAAGCCCTATAGTATGGCTGGAATTACTTTACCATACTTTTATGCAAAGCTAAATTAACATAGATAAAACTTCAACTTCACTCAGCCAATATACCTGACGTTGCTCCTTTGGCTATTCCCTTAAAGAAAAAACGTCTCGTACATTGGTAGACTTCACAAAAGGATTAGAAGCCTTTTTAAAAATCAAAATCCAAGTATTGGCCTTAAATAAATCTGTCTAGCTACAGATAGGGCAATAGGCGAAGATTTGTCTTCTTTTCACTGGTTTATTTTCTTATGTGCTGCTTAGCATTATGTTGGTCACACCATCGCGTTTTATATTAATATGAAAATAAGCCAACTATGATCATAGCAACATCAGAGAATTAAAAGTCTGTTTTCCACAATCCCTCCTTCAATCGGACAAAAAAGATTCTGGCTTTTCAAAGCGTTCTGATAAAGTGTTAGTACTGCCAGGAAATTGAGAATCTGTTTGTGAAATTGCAACAAATGAGATTTAACTAGCTCTATTTCTTTTAATGACAATTATAAATATATAATAAATGATTGGAAATACAAACAAAATAAAAATTTCAATTTTGAAACTGTCTAAAAAAATTACTTGCCCTAATATTATCTTTTATGTAAAAATTCACCTTTCAAAACTGCTGTTATCAATACGTTTTAAAATATTAACTAAACTTGAAACTATTCCAGGTTGCCACCGGGATTTGTCCATTTAAAAAATCTAACAGTTCTAGGATTGAACGATATGTCATTAACAAATCTACCACCTGATTTTGGGTTGTAAGTAATACCTTTACTTTGATAATATATTTGTTTTTAGTTGTTATATCTATATTCGTAATTTACAGATTGACTAGTCTACAGTCATTAGAACTGCGAGAGAACTTACTTAAGTCCCTCCCTGAGTCTCTATCGCAGCTATCAGCACTTGAAAGGCTTGATTTAGGGGATAATGAAATAGAAGAATTGGTAAGTGTTACATTCTGTTTGGAATTATGAATGTTGCTTCAAGTATTTAAATGATTACTTTTTAGAGAATTTAATTAAATATACCATCATAAAATCATTCTAGCTAACTTTTTATTTTATACTGTACTTAATCAAGCTGAAGTATCAAATCAAAATGTTAATGGTTTTGTACAATCATTAAAATTATCAAAATGATTTATTTCCCAGCCTCGTCACATAGGGAAATTACCTGCCCTTCAGGAACTGTGGTTGGACCATAATCAACTTCAGCATTTACCATCGGTATATAGATTTATATTTACACCTCCTTTTTTACTTGGGATTAATTCTAATCTGATCGATTTCGATAGGAAATTGGCGAGTTAAAATCTCTGACATGCCTCGATGTATCTGAAAACAGACTGGAGGGCCTTCCTGAAGAAATCGGTGGTCTTGAAAGCCTAACGGATCTTCACTTATCTCAGAACGTAATCGAAACCCTGCCTGATGGATTGGGCAGCCTGAAGAAACTATTGATTTTAAAGGTGGATCAAAACAGGTTATCGATACTTAACAGCAACATAGGAAAGTATGTGTCGTGTCATTGTAATCGATTAATTCATTTCGTGTTTAATCCTGCCATCGTTGTGTCTTTTAGATGTGAAAATTTACAAGAATTAATTTTGACGGAAAATTTTCTTGTGGAACTTCCACTCTCCATAGGAAATCTAGTAAACTTGACAAATCTGAATGTAGACAGAAACAGCCTTCACAATGTTCCACCAGAAATTGGTGAGCCAATGTTTTAGAAAATATCTTCAAAATAAATTGTATATTTTATTTTTCTCTATTGGTAGTTTCTTAGTTGATAACAATTTACTTCTTTTACTTATAAGTTAAGATTTTTCTTTTGGTTTAGTTTTTACTAACCTATTAGTTTGAGAATTTATTTAAGCATGAATTTTAATGGCAATAATAAATATTAAGTGCATTATTTTGAATAAATAATAATAATTTGTTAGTATAACAAACTTCAGTAAGTTTACCAGATATTTGAATTATTGAAAGGACTGATGAATACCTGAAACATAAACAAATTTTATAATTTCAAATAAATAATTGATAATTGTTTGCCATTCACTTAAACCAGTATAATTTAAGCACTTGGTATAAATGGTTTTGAACTATAAAAAATATCTATAGATTTAAACTATCAATTTACAAATTCCAATGATTGTAATTTTTGTGTTATTAATTTTTTAAAGTAACTTTTTATTTTACTTAAACCATTAACTATTTGTACAAAATTTAAATTATGACAAAATTTCATCTTTTATCAATGTCCTAAATGTTTTTGATTTGTTTGACGACGCGTATTGTTTGTGAAAATTGCAGGTAGGCTAGCCTCTTTAGGCGTCCTTTCGCTGCGGGACAACAAGCTCCAATACATTCCGTCTGAAATTGGAAACTGCTCATTACTTCACGTCCTTGACCTCTCTGGAAATAGGTTGCAATATCTGCCATTTTCGCTGACAAACTTGCAGTTAAAAGCTGTTTGGCTGTCTGAGAATCAGGCTCAGCCACTGCTCACCTTCCAGACTGAGCACGATGAAGCGAGTAATGAACAGGTGCTCACATGTTTCCTTCTCCCGCAACAAGAATCTGCCCAGGACAACACTGCCGGTACCTTTTTTTTTTTTTTTTGCTTTCCAAATATTTTTTCCCCCAATACTTCCTTATTTGCATGGTTACCTTAAATAATTCCAAAAGACCTCCTTATTTGTGCTACAAAGTATGTTTATACTCACCAAATAATTTCAATTGCCTTTTCTAAAAATAGGTATTAAGAAAAGAGCTGATTGGATTAATATTAATAGTTTTATTTGTTATACAATAATATTTTGTATTGCTTTTATTTTGCCAAGGTGCTTTAATTTAAACATCGCTTTTCATATTGAAGCAGATTCATAGAGTTGACAGACTGTTTCAAATAAAAGTAAGCACCTGAGCTTTGTTAGAATGCAAAAGCTGGCTTCTTTTCTTATATTTGGAGATGTTATAACAATTCCAATCTAATTATAACAATTACGTGACAAAATTATTATTTTACATACAGTTATTCCTGAAGTTATCCTTTACCGAATGCTCTTAGATTTATTCGATTATATGTTTCTCCCGTTTTCTTAACAATCGTTTGTAAATTAAATGTTTAAAAACTCTCCATATATGTTTATACTTGTTTATGGAATACCTTGTAACTTTGAAAAGACTTAATAGTAAATTTATTCAAATTATAAATGTTAAAGTAGACCCACATAGAAAGTATGATGGAAATAGTATTTTAAAATAGTTACCCGTGAAAATTCTTTGTATGACCTTACAATTGGTAGAAGTGGAAAAACATTAATGATTTTATGTTGTTTACTGTCAGCAGCCCTATCTTGAACAATGGACTTACGGATTAATTTTTTACATTTTTGTTGTGCATTTGTAGTTGTTTTTTTTTGCACCTTGCATGGTTGTGTTTGCACTAGGGCGAGTGAACAAGGCTTTTGAAGTTGGATTTGGAATGTCAACATTAGATCCAGTTGAAAGCGATGAAGAAGGATGGGAGGAGAGAGAGGCATCGAGGACCCATTCTGTCAAGTTCACTGAGGATGTCGAGACTGAACCAGGGAAGGAGTCAAGTTCAGTAAGTTGACTGCAATTTTTGAAAATACTAGTTAACTTATGGCCCTAAGAGTGGCTCAAAGGCTTGAATAATAGGGTTGTTCTAGTTGTCGAACTCAATTTCATGTGGCTGAAGTGAGTGTTATTGAGTTTGGCCACACTAATCAGGTTACTATTAACGCACAGTTGCCTTTAGAAACCGAATTTACATTACATTCAGTTTATATCAATAACTTTATTAAAAATTTTGCTATAAATTTTAAGTTTGATTTTTTTTTTCCAGACTCCGTTTGTGAGGCAAAACACCCCCCACCCTAAAGAACTCAAAGCAAAGGCACACAAACTGTTTAATAAATCTAAAATTATTGACAGTAGAGAATTGGCAGTTGAAGAACTGGTATATAATTCTTTATTTATAACAGGTTTACATATTTAATTTTTTTTTATCAAAACCTAAACAGGTTTTTTTGTTTTTGTTTGCAGGATGAATCTACAAGATCATCATCATTTAGAAATGATCGCCTTAGTTCTACTGATGTAGATCCAAATAGCGAACGTAGTTCTTATTCAGAAAGCACAGCTAAAGATGAATTCAAAGAGGTAAAGACAAAACCTTACTCACTAAAACCACTAACTATTAAAAACACCCAAAGAAAATCCAAATTAATGTTTTGTTTTTGCACTAATGCTTTTACCTTGACACTTTTAGAGCAAGAATATTGAGATGAAAGTAAGTAATGATGTGAGAATAACTAGTGAGTCGCCGAGTGAAACAGGGCAGAGTGAAATGGAAGAAGATGATGAACAGGTAATAAAAGAAAAAAAAAAGAATCAAGCAAACTATGATTTTTAAAGTTCTATTAAAAACAACTTTACTCGACTTCAATAAAATTCTTCCGTTCTTCTGTAACTATTTTCACCGATCGGCACTCGGCCTGAACGCTATTGACTTTTTAAAACAGTCTGGCAACTCTAACCCTCTTTTGAAATAGCTTTAGCCTCTTAACGGTGTTCTGTGTGAATTTGCCAGATTGACAAGTTTCAATTGTATTTTCTGAGTGAGGACAATCGTTTTAAATGATTTAGGAGAAACACGTCGGTTTTGAAGTAGAGTCAGGCGCAGTTGAGGATGGCCCTCACAGGCCAACCCGGCTCCACCGGAGGGACACCCCCCATCACCTAAAGAACAAGAGGATCAACCAAACAACACAGATGGACAAAGATAAAATGGCTGCCATTATTGCATGTGTCAGTTTCGAAAACAATTTTTTCTATGTTTATTTTGAACCATGCTAGTGGCTTTGAAATAATTAATCAGTCATTCGTTAGAAATTCAGATTAGGAAATGCCAAATAGATTATACCAATTTACCTTACAATCAAGTTTCGTATTTGTGAAGTCACACCTAGTTTTGATTAGTTATCATGTTTCGCTACGCCTTTCAATATCTGTGCAAATAACAAATCTATCTATAAAAGTCGTCATTTTGGGAATTTATATTTTGTAGAGTGTCATTTACAAAAACAATTTGTATAGTTAAAAAAAAGAAAAAAATTTAATCAAACTGTTGTATAAAATATTTTTCCGTTGTGATGTTTCATTACCAAATATTCAATACAGTAAAAATGAATAAAATTAGCTAGCTTTATTACTCAATAAGCTTTACATAATAGTAAGCTTTTTAAAGATTTTTTATGTTTATTATAAATCCATTTGTGATTGTTATGAATCATTGCTGAATTTTTACTTTTTCAATCTACTTATAAATACATGAAATGTAATAACATTTATGACCCTACTTGATTAAAAGTACCATTGGTTTTATGTTGTTTGGCATTTTCACATTTAGCTTTACTTTTACGTATTATAGCTTTTATTTTGTCCATCTTTGATTATTGACATTAGACCACACTAAACATAAAACTCGTTAATTGCATAAAACATAATGTGGGGTATGATTCATTGAGTGAGTTTGGAACAGTTGGTCTGAGTGTAAATAATCAATGGGTATCCATTCCTGTTTCGTTTTGCCTGTATTGTCTCTTTTTGTATGAAAATCTGTTAAAACTCCTTGTGTGCACGACTTTTGAGATATGTTAATTTATTTTATTACCAGTTTTGGTTTTGGTTTTGTTATAGTGATACCCGTGCATGACATTTAACATTCCTAATTACTTGCGCCAAGGCTAAACTAACAAGCTTCCATCTTTTAGCTTCCTTTTTACCTCTGCATTTTTCAATTCTGTTACTGAATTTTTTAAATTGATTTTGACAAATGTTCCAGGCTATAAATAACAAGAAAAAGGAGGAGGAAATAGCGGCGAGCAACGAGAAACCTGCTAATCCGGCCCCACCCGAATTGAACAGCAGAAACGGTGAGTGTTGTAACGTTTTAGCGTTGATATGTATGTCAAAGATAAAAAAATCGAGATAGCACAAGTTTACTTGAATCACTTTTATCAATGTTTACCCACCTACATCACCACTTGTTCTGCTCTTGTAGTTTCATAAATGTTTCTATTGCAATATGTCGGCCAAAAACAGAGGTCGTTTGAGGCATAAAAAAGTTCGTTATGCAAGTATGTTGTCTTTTTTAAGTTTTGTATACTATCAATCAGTCTACATTACAGTTTTCTTTTATAAATTTAATCCTTAATAACATAAATTTGTGATATAATTAATATATTTAAATAAACTTGTATTATTATAATAATAACAAAATATCACTGGATTATTTTAATAATTAGAACTATTTTTTTAAAATCATACATTGATTTATCTTGTCTCATCCAACAGGAACATGTACATTTCATTGTGCAATATTATAGTGATGTCTATGACAGGATGAACCTGTAGCTACCGTTATCCTGGTCAGTTTATTTTCGTTGGTTTTGTCTGTGAGAAGCTGATTCACTGTTTTATATAACTTCAAATCTGCACACAGATGTACATACATACACTCGTACATAGTTGAGTCTATCACTTCTAGCAGTCCACCGATAATTCCAGCTTTTGTAATTTACCCATCTCTTGGCAGTCTAGGGTAAGACTTATTCACCAAAGTTTGGCTCTAGGGGCTATCAACAGCTAGCCCCCCCCCCCAATACTTTGTGCTCTCTCACACTACCCATTCATGCTAATAAATACATTCACCCTCAACAGACATTAGTGGACACGTGATGATATATCTATAAAGTTCTTCAGACAATAAAACAACCCTTATTTTCTCTAGAAATCTGTACAGGGGCCCCAGTTCGCATATCAGGTGGCATTCCTACGCGTACTCTTGAATTAAGTGGGGCCCATCGTGCAACTTTTTTTTCTACATGCTGGGCGCATGTGCAAGTTTTGGCCCAAAAGTAGTGTCTGTGTGACAACCTCGCCTGGCCTATCCTTAATCGGATGAGGATGATTTTTCTTCTACGAGTCAGATCCTTCATGGGTCACTTATCGACAGTGCTCTTGATACGTGAGAGCTTCTTCAGCCCACTAATGTTGCCCTTTAATTTTAATTATCTTTTCCAATGCATTTTAGTCAGAGTGGTTAAGTCGGGAAGTTGGGATGTCTCCATAACCACCTCGTCGTTTCGTTCTCCTCCAGATCTATGTCCGGGTACCCTTTCAGAAATGGTGGCATTTTCGTGTTAGTAATATGACAAACCATTCTTCAAATTATAAATTAATGGTTTATTATTAATCTGTACCATTTATTATTGGTATTATATTATTATCTGTTAACATATAGTTTTTCATGAATGTGTTTTTATTGTTTGCATGGGTTTTAGCATTCATCTTAAAAATTGAAACAGTTGTTATACAGGGAATCAATGATACAGTTAGTAAGATATTTAAGTTCCTCTAAAAATGCTCCCATCACTCTGTTGATGTTGAAAAAGTTTTTCTTGGTACAAATATTTGTTGGGTAATAAATGCTGTAGTTGTGTAGAAATTAATTTTGAAATGTATCTCATTGTCAATTTTAATTCATATACTTCATATAATTCATAACTTAATTAAGCTTAATTATTTATTTTGTACAATATTTTAAATTATGTGATTGTCTGGTTGAGATTTTTCCTTTCCAAAAACGAATGTGTACTTAACCAATACAAAAAATTATGTCTGCATTTAAAAAAAAGTTAATTGTAGTCGGGTAATGTCTTGAACATTCTTATAGCGTTTATTTCTGTTTTTAGTTCAAATTATAGTCATATTTGAGCAGTTTTTAGTGCATATTTGAGCATTTTTATTGCATTTAAATCCAGGCTCTAAATATAACATACTGCTTACAAGGGGATGAGAAAGAAAAAAATAATGTTAAAAAATATACATCACTTATGTGACAAATTTGCACATATTTTTAACTTCCTTTCGTTTATGAGATGTTATAAATAATACAGAATCATACAAAATATGACAGTATTCATGGATTTACAATGGTACAATTGTTTCAAATTGGAACATAAATATTTTTTTTTTATAGAAGTCGATGCGGTTGTTGATATTAATGAAGAGAGGTTGGAAATAAAACTAGAGAAAACTTCAGCTGGTTTGGGCCTTTCTATAGCCGGAGGATTGGGTTCGACCCCGTTTAAAGGAGACGATGAAGGAATTTTTGTATCTCGTGTCACTGATGGTGGCCCAGCAGATATTGCTTGCCTTAAAGTCGGTGACAAGATACTTTCTGTTAACGGGCACAATATGGTCGGTGCTGGTCACTATGAGGCTGTAGAAGTTCTCAGGTCGGCTGGGCCTGTACTTAATATTGTGATCATCCGTGATGTCTCTAGGTTATTACCATTGCAGAAGGTAAATATGACTTACTTCTTTTTATATTTCATCTTTTTTAAATATTTTTTTTTATGTATGCTTAGAATTCATCCCGTATCGGTGATTCAGTCCCATCTAGTCTAAGCACGAGCAGACCACCCAGTTCAACATCACATTATTCAGGAGTGACTTCAGTGTTTGAAGAGTATCCACAGAACGGTCCATTGCATCATCCAGTCGATTCAAAGGTATTTCTGATGTCTTCAGTTTGTACTTTAACAATTTATTATATATTTTCTTTCAGCTGGCTCAGCTCAAGAAAGAAAACTATGAAATTACTCATCAACCTGTTTATACAACATTAATAAGGGACCATAATGGACTTGGATTTAGTATAGCTGGAGGCAAAGGATGTCCACCATTTAGGGAAAATTCAGAGGTAAATTTTTTATTTATTATTTTTTTATTAAACACTCTTTAATTTTGATTCTTTCTCACTTTGGCTATTTTGTTTCAGTCAATATATATTTCAAGGATAACAGAAGGTGGGGTAGCAGAAAAAGATGGTAAACTTCAAGTTGGTGATAGAATTGTATCTGTGAGTAATTAAACATTTTAATATTTCTTATTTTTGTATAGTCTCTATAATATGAAAAAAAGTTATGTCTGAAGTGAGAGAGAAGGAAAATTTTAATGGTGTAGAAAGAGAAAAAGAGGGTAAGGGTAAAAAAGGGGAGGGTAAACGCAATGTTTTAATAGAATTGTTCACTTCTCTCACTTAGTTTAAATTTTAAGAAACATGACACACACATACACACGGACACATTATCACCTTAAGTTTCACATAAATTTCAACAGGCATCTGTCACTCTATGCCCAAGTTCAAACTTTTAAAGCAAGCAAGGCCTCAAATGAATTTTATATGCTTCCATATCGTACACGTCACCGTTTATTCTAGTTTGACCAACTAGTATCAACTACTACCTGCTTTCTTAACAATCTATTTTACTAGTGCTCTTCCTACCCTAGAACTAACTGGGCTAGCAGGTAATAAAAGATAGCCTTTATAAGGGTAAAAATTAAAATTTGAAAAAACTGAAAACTTCTGCACACACCCATTACATTTACCAGTCATTATTTGTGCTGTTTGTCTTTTATTTCAATGATTATAATAAATTTATGTTTATTTCATATCATTTGGAACTTCACTAAATAGTTAAATATTAATGTGATAATTATAGATAAATGGTGTGGATCTGGAAGGTGCTCGGCATGACCAGGCTGTGTCGATGCTGACAGGTCTTGAGCGTTATGTTAGGCTAGTTGCTGAAAGGGAAGTTATTGTTCCGAAAGGGTCAACAACAGCTCCGACTCCTCCTCCTCCAGTTGAAAAATCGCCAAAGTTAATAGAAAAAAAAACTTTATATCTAATTAATTGAAATCATGATTTTTATGTAAAAACTTTTTTCCTCAGATTATTTCCTGTACCGAAACCGTATACATCTTTGTACAATGCCAATAGCCATATTGCGGGTGCAAGGCCTCCAAGTGTAAGGTCTAGTACGCCTCCGAACACCAACTCGACTTCTTCTGTTTCTTCACCACCTAAGCCAGCACCAAGAAGAATAACAAGCCAGTCGTCTACTGAATCAGACCCAGCCCCAAACACTGCTTCAACCGAGGTAAGCTTATGAAAATGTAATAATAACATTACAAAGAAAAAAAAGAAAAAAAAATCTCTTGAGATTTTCAAAATAACCTAATATTTTCCATTCATCTTCATCCTTGCATTCTTCAGCATTAATGTATTTAAGAAAATTCATTGCATTTATCTATATGTGAAACCCTGCATGTCTTGTTTTATACATTTGATTGTCTCAAGTACGATTTTGTATGTTTAGGGAGATATTTTTGTATGTATTTGTTTTGTTTAAATTGCAAACTAAGTAGGTTTGTTGCTTTTATTTATTATTATTTCAAGTGCAAGAATTTGTATGTTTTTGTTTTGAAACAATACATTAAGTTAAGACGATGCAATTTCTTGCACACACTATTATATTTATTATTAAAAAAAAAAAAGAAAAAAAAGAGAATGTATATTGGAACATCCTCGGGGGTTTGTGAATTGTCAAACAGACCGGGTCGACGATCAGAACGAAACCGATCACAAATGAAGAGTTCCAAGCGATGATCCCCGCACACTTCATCGACGGTTCAAAAGGAGGAGACAGTGCGAAACCTAACGATCCAACTACAGTAACACTCACGATCAAAGCGCCAAACCCAAACATGGCCAATGGCATCGAATTCCCGGACACACCAACTTCATTGGGCAAAGTCACTGAAACTATTACGAAGAGTACTTTCACAGAGACGGTCGTCACTAGAGTCACTGACAATAAACTGGCTGAATCAGTTATTATTGAGGTGAGTGGTATTATTGCTTTTATTTGTCTAGATTTAAAAAAACACCTTTATCCACATTCCTTTGTAAATTACTTGAAACTTTTGCCTCTGATGAATAAATAAATTGCATATTGTTTCTTATTTAATATAATATATAATAGTAGTGACATAGTAGTGATAGTATGTATTATTTAAGGCCTGTCAAACATCAAGAAGTCATTGCCGACCCTCCATGCTTTACACAGATTTTTCTTTCTTTTTGCACATCTTTTTTACACTCACATTTTGTCTCCTGATTTCTTAACTCGCTAACCTCTCATATTTACCTCACATTGTCAAATTACTATTAAAACAACCAAGCATAACAAACACAATACATAAAGCTCTTCATGCTTCCCACTTCCCCAGGAAATACCTCTAGCGACGGGAGCCCTGCCCCCCTGGCTATAACACCTGGACGGTGCTTAGAGGAACCCCCCAATAATAAGTTAGACTCTACTTGTGGAATCTGATTGGTCGATCTCAAATCTCAAATGTATTTTTATTAAATAAAAGTAAAATAATTTTTCAAAAAATTATAAATTTATATAAAATTAGTAATAGTTATTGTTTGTTATAATTCACAATCAATTTGTATCCGTTACTCTTAAACATGTGGTAATATTTTAATTTAACCATTATGGATAAGAAAACTAAACATTTGGCATGAACTTGTGTACAGACATTTTTTTAAATTAATTTTGTAGAGGTAAATCGGAAAAATACATAATTGACTTTGCATTTTTTTTAAAGGTTAAAATTTAATTTGACCACTTCCTTGATTAAATGAGATAAGATTAGAAAAGGAGTTGGCCACTTTATAACTTGAGCACTGCGACAGTACTGGTTTATTGTGCAACTCCATTGCTTTCTAGAGCTTTTTACCAGAATCCAAAGTTTTTTCAGACAAGGTCTTTTCCCATGAATCTCAGCCTACAGGCTATGGTTAGTGGATGTCTTATTTGGAATTCGACTTTGTCAGAACTCAGTGGTTACAATGGTTAAGGAGCATATTCTGACTATCAGTATGCCACTGGTATTTAGCAAAGATAGATTTTTTTTTTTTTAAATCTGCTGTTGAAAGTTTTAGTGTTGAATGGTAGAAATAAGAAATATGAATGAATTGTTTGCCACAGGGACAATAAGAGAGTACAGAATGCTCTTTCAAGATCATCGGTGAGGTTTTTCATTTTTCATGCCCATGAAGCAGTTATATTTGAACACAATATTTGTGAGTTTGTTGAATTACTCATATATCGTAGTAAAGTCGGACCCAATTAGTAACCCAATGCTGGTTTACCGTGAATTCACTGACTCATGGACCGACACCCAGCATCAACATTGAAAACAATTAATTTGTAAACAATCATTGTAGATTTCTTCATTCTATGTACTGCGTGAACTGAACATAAAAACAGATGCGAAAATCATTTGAATGGCAGACTCGTGCTGACATGTTCGTGTATAATCTGATAAGGTAGATCACGCTTGCACTGTAAATGGTCTCATAACATTGACTTTTTTAAATCATTCTGATGGATATGTTAGAACACGCATCGACTGAACCTAAGCCTTCGTACCATCATACAACATTTTCAACTGTCTCTTCTTCTTCCTGACAATACCACAGTTATGTTTCTGGCACTCCAAGTTTGTACATATGCCTCCGGAGTCTGCAGTGCCCAGTTAGCAGTACCAATTATTCTATTCCTAACACATCCTAGATTAGTAGTTCTGTCTTTAGTTTCTGGGATGGTCCTTTAATGGACTATTTTAAATGTATCTGTTCTTGGCTAAATTCCCATTGAATGGAGGACTAATTTTTAATCCCTTGTTTAATAGATCCACGTTTTTGGCAGTTTGGTATGCCACAAAAGGGCTCAGGGCCATTAGGTGTCTTCATCAAACTTTACTTGGCCTCTTTATTGCTCCTTTACTGTGGGTACCCTGGTCCCCAGACAAGGATAATTTTGCCATTTTCCCTAATGCTTAGAACCTTTTGACCCAAAATTACAACTTGTATGATATAGTATAAATTTACAAAACAATAAAGCCACTACCTGAGTTATTGTAATTGTTCCAGTCTCTTTATTAATTCAAATATTATCTAATTATGTAACTAGCAAAAGCTTTGCAGAAAGTAAGCTTTGTGTAATGGATTATTCTTCTAAAATTAAAATCTAAGAAACAATATTTTCTATCTTGCTTTGTAAGAAAGCCAAAATGATGTTGCTTTTTGCTGAGGTATGTGGGTAAAGGTGTTTATTGAAGTCTCACATCTATAATAATTAAAATTCGCTTTGTATTTACACCTTGTCTACTAATGAGACATAGGAACGTTTTATTAACGCATGGGGCTAACTGGAATAAACTTTTAAACATGATTGTGAAATAGTTCCCGTTTTTATTTGAATCCCGCATTAAAAACATAAGCTGTGTTTTAACTGAGTGAGGCTTCAATTATTAAAAAAAAATTGTTTTTTGTTTTATTTAAAAAGAATGAAAGTCCTAACAGTGATGATTTGGGTGTTGTTATGTAAGCATGATAGGTGATGATTAATACAATTAATTGGAAATGATTTATTTATTTGGATGCAATGCAAACACTGCCATTCTCTAGCTGTTTGCCTTCCTTATTTTTCAATTCAAAATTTGGTGAATTTATTTTTTGAGATTGATTTCCAATTTTCACCTTTATTCCATTAAATAAAATTTTTATTGTGGTAACTGGAAACATTAATTTTGACAAAATAAATGTTTAAATTTCTCATTTTTTAAATTTTTTTATTAACACATCACAGAATATGTTTATAATGATGCTAGTAATTATTTTTGTAGTGACAATTTACTCCTGAAATATTTAAACTGTTTAGGCATTTTATTTAAATAATTTATTGAATAAACAATTAGACAAAGTTAGTGAAACAAGTGACCATGCTTATTCTGTAAATATAAAATTAAAAAGAGAAAAAAAAAAAAGAAAAAAGGGGCTATTCTTCATAATTAATATTAATATCTATCTGCATTATTTTTTCCTTTTTTAAATAGTGTTTTTTAAATTTTTAACAGCTTTATTTTGGTTAATTTCAAAAGGTTATGCTTTTTCATGCATGATTGAAGTGCATATTTAGGCATAAATAATCCTTTTAAACTACAGCATCATATTATTTTGCGCTTTTTGTGTTGTTGAACCAGTTTTTGTGTTTAAATGTGTGTATAATAATACTGATATAAATACTGATTCAGTGCTTGAAGCTTTGTTTGAGAAAATTGCATAACAGTAACATAACACTGGATTGTGCACTTTATTATCTAAAAGTCAAAAAACTTGCTTGAAAATCATCATAAAGGTAAGGATTAGAATATAATAATCGATTAGAGTGTGAACGATAGTAATTGTAGAATTTTATGTTGATATCTATGTAGTGTAAATTAAAAAATAATGGATTAATATAAAATGGGACATAATATAAAAGGTAAGATAAAGCTTGGCATGGCTTTTTAACGCTCTTGGCCAAGTGGCATTGCTTTGTCCTTATTTTTTAGTTTTATTTTCTTCCACTCGTATTGTTTTTTTTTTTTTTTTTCATGCAATGTCACCATTTATCAAATGAAGGCATGGTTTCACCTTATGTAATATTAATAATAATAGTAGTAAAAAAAAAGTACCACCATTTAAAAACCTGTTAGATGGTAATTTAATTTGAACTTCTTGGTTTATTTATTTATGCTTGGCTGCTTTTATATTTTGGTGTTACATCGCTTTTTGAACAATTTTCAGGAAGTGACATTAGCTAAAGATGGAGGATCCTTAGGGTTTAGCATTATCGGTGGGACAGACCATTCTTGTACTCCATTCGGAAAGAACGAACCGGGAATATTCATATCCCACGTATGTATTAGTGTTTTGTGTTAAAATATTGTTATGTGTAGGATATGCTGTAACTAATGCATAAAGTAAAGATTAGCTATATATTTTTATTGTTAAATAAAAATACATGTATTACGGTAGAGGACTAAATGTTGGTGAATTTGATTATTTTGTTAGATTGTCGCGGGTGGGCGTGCAGCAAATTCTGGTAAACTGAGGATGGGCGATAGAATACTTAAAGTTAACAAAGATGATTTAACAAAATGTAGGCACAACGAGGCAGTTATGTCTCTTCTTCAACCATCAAATGAGATAACATTGACTGTCCAACACGATCCTCTTCCAGAAGGCTTCCAAGTAAAACTTCCTTCTTTATTAAAATTGTAATTAAGGATTATTCAGAGATCGTGAGATTCGGTCTGGTGTGATCTCACAATGTCTAAATAATTATTAATTTACAGTCACTAAATATTACACATTATAATTTAAAAAAATAAATATAATAATTAATTATTTGTTTTTAGGACTTAACAATAGTTAGGCAAGATGGTGAGAAGCTCGGAATGCATATAAAAGGTGGTTTACGGGGCCACAGGGGCAATCCACTGGATAAGACTGATGAAGGAGTTTTCATATCGAAGATAAACTCTGGTGGTGCTGCAAAAAGGGACGGAAGGCTTAAAGTAGGCATGAGACTACTTGAAGTCAACGGCTTCTCCCTGCTAGGTGCTACTCATCAAGAATCAGTGAATTCATTAAGGAACGCAGGCCAGTCAATTCGTCTAGTCGTCTGTAAAGGATATGACAAGGCCGAAGTCGACAAACTGTTAGCTGAAGGAAAGTTGACAAAGGAAAACAAATCTGCATCACAGAGTGTTTCTAGCCTTGATCGAGAAGATCATGACAGTGATACAATAAGACAGGTATGATTAAAATTGGTTTAAATTTATTGCAAGCTTGTATTGAACAAAATTATCTTATAGGAACAACAGATGAAACAAGAACTAGTTGCATGGGAAAAAGAAGAGGAAAGGAAAAAAGAAAAGGATGTTCAAATGGATGTTGAACATGTTAAAGATAAATCTACACCAGAAAAAGTAAGTAATATTACAAATTTTTGCCTAATTTTAAGACTAAACCACATATCAAATCATTTTCAATTTCTGATGGATAGTAATGTCATCTACCAGGTACCCAGAAAAGTTTTTGCAGGTTTAAAATATTTAATAATCAGAAATATTTTATTCGGGGAAATAGTCTCCGTCAGCCTTCTCCTGAGTTACTAGCCCAGTTATGCCCTTCTTGTAAAAGTTTGAATTCTGGGTTAAAAAAAAAATAAATTCAGCTCATTTTCCAGCCGTTAGCGATTATCGAACACAGGATTGTGCATATGATTTATCCATTGCTAAGGAAAGGTAAAAGTCAGATTAGGGTAGGTCTGGAGAGTACCTAAGTGTGGTAGGACTTACCCGCCAAGCTTCATTATCACCTCGTTTGTTCTGGCTGTATGAGGTCTCACATTGTCCTGCTGAAAAATTACACCTTTTCTCTTCACAACAGGTTGTGCTGGTCCAGGGCAAAAGATACTTGTTCCAGTTGGCTTGAGTAGATTTCTGCAGTGATGATCTGGCCACTTAACAGAAGTTCATTGTACACAATGGCACTTTTTGTTGGTGAATATTCGGTTAACGTGTCATGCCACAGATTTGGCAACAGCTAATGGTTTGACCTCCTGGTGGTACTTTACAGGATCCATTTTTTAACACATATGACAATCCGGTGAAAATACCTCTACTTTGTGCTGTGAAAGCAATGAATGCGTTTAGATGGTGAAGCTTGCTACTATTGGTCAGTTTATGAGGAACCCATTTGTTCTGCTTCCACATCTTCCCAAATGTAATGGTTTCATCGCTTACATTAAACAATGGTGAATTCGACATGTTTGACACTACTACTCTACCAGACTGTTCATCTTCAGTTCCTCATTCCAGAAGCAAACTTTTGGTTGAGACCTCTTGGGGTGCGCGCTCACTTATTGTTTCATCACTGAATGCAGTGCATATTATACGAGTTGCCTTGGCTGCCTTATCACCAACATTAAATTGAGGTTTTGAAGCCATGAGAATTTTTTTTTAATAGTATACAGTAAAATATTCAATATACTTTTTCTTTATGAACTGACCTATTCCCTCTTGGTATTACAAAATGGAAACATCTAATCATCTTATGTACGTCGATTAATGGTATTGAAACAATAAATGAAAAACTGCTTGAACTTTTCTGGTTCGTAACTTGCTTAATGAACAGTGAATAAATTACATTTAAAAAAAATATATTTAAAAGGAATACATAGTTATTAAGTTACATGAAGTTTCTTATTAATATCCTATTATCCCTATATTAATATTAATTAAGAGTTTACAGTAATTTAATTATAATTTTGGAACTTTTAAATAAGTTAGTTGATTTTTGTAGGTAATGGAAGTGGTTCGAGCAGTTGAAATACTAGCCAATACTAATGAATCTAACCAGCCAAGTAAGCCAAAGTCTCCTGGTGGTCCTAAGTCAACAGACAGTCTCAAGACGACCACGATAGTCATGAGCAAGCATACACTTGCTCCTCAAAGCGAGAATAATCAGGTGAGTCGTTTGATTTAATCAAGCATACAAACTGTAAATAGGCTCATTTTAACTTTTGAACTGTGTACATATACGGAATTTGCGTTTCAAAAGTTGACGTACATCAAGTTCATATAAATGTTCAGAAATTGAACTGCATGAATTCAGTGTTGTAATTTACAAGGTTAAAAAATTGTTTTAATTTTTTTAAAATTATTTGTTGGATTTAAATTCAATATAGTCTTTTTTTAAATTAGCTTTCTACTGTACAAACTTTTGTACATATGGGAAGGAGCCTAGTGTTCAAAAATAACGTATATCTTGTTTTTTAATTTCTATAACATTTACATGAACAAATGATTTCCTTTCATATTTTTTAAATATAAAAGGTCATCATGATATTAATTTTGCCAAACAGAGTCCTAGTTGCTTTTTCTGAATGTTCTAACTTCAATATATACAAATTTATTTTTTAAAGAATTTAAAAAAAATTCTTTCCTTAAACTGTACAATTACCAATTTTTCATTCACACTGTTGTTTACTGTATGTTTGTTCCCAACTGTCTGTTAATGTAATTTTTCCTTATATTCGTATTTTCAAGGTTTTTTGTTTTTGTTTGGGTGTTTGTAATTTTAAATGTGGCTACATAGCCCTGACTTGTGTTTTTGTTTGATTTATTTGTATTCAGTGTTGCTTTTCCCTTGGATAATACACTTACCTGGCTACTTGTTTGTCAAATTGGAAATTCACCTTTGTGTTGCTCAATGTTTGTTTTTTCAGCATGTGTGTCACCATTGCCTATTCGTTCCTTACTATTTTACTCATTTTATTGAAATATTAAACACATATTTCATTTTCAATTTCGTAGGATTTACGTTGGTATTTTGAACAGTTAAGTAAATATTTTAGGAAATTACTATTTAATTAAATTATTTAATTTTATTTACATTTTTTTTAGAAGAATGGTAAAGGTAATTATTTTCACAAAACGAACAATTTATAATTAAATCGCTTCAACAAATATAAACTACTAGAACTGGAACATTTTGTTTCTCACCACATTTTTTAATAGATAATAAAATTTATTCATAAAAATTCTCTTTTCACATAATTCAACAAAAACAATAGCCCCCCCCCTCAGGAGTTCTTCTACCACGAGCTTACATTAACCCCCAGGGTGCTGGTTTAAAAAAGAAAATGCAGGAATTCTGAATTTGAACCCGGGACCCTTACAATGATGAGTTGCTCTGTCAATGCCTTAACCACAAGTCACTTTTCTTGACTTCAACTTTGTTTAAATGCAGTACTCAGAAGAATAGCAGAATGATTAGCAGAAAAAATTTCATTTAAGATTTTTGAAAGTGGTGAGAATTATTTATGCTAAAGCTAATTTGTATGAAGAGTTTCTTTCATGAAACTGCTTGTCGATGTAATACTTGCAAAAAAATTGTACATATAATCTTAGTTTTTTTTAAAAACAGTATTTAGAAATAAATTTTTGAAGAATTTATTTTCATTTTTATAAAGTTCTAGCCAATTTATATTTGTGAATTTTTAAATATATAAATATCAATTTATTACAAAAATTACATTTTCTAACAAATCTTTTGCCATTCTTAATTATTTCTTAAATATAATATAGGCTGTATGATTTTTTTATGTTTGCCATTCTTTATTATTTTTTGCTTTTATAATGTAATATATCTCCCCTCCTGTTGGTTGTAAGTAAAAACATTATTTTCATTATGTATAAAGTGATTTTTTTTGTGATTTCAATTTTATGGTTTTTACCTCAGTGTTTAAAGTTATAATTTTGCAATAATGAATTTCATCTCTGAAAATCATATTTAATATTTTTCATGTAAACATCTCTTTTTTTTAATTGCTTGCGCCTAAAATACACTCACTTTTCTGCTACGTTAATTATTTTAATAACAACCTACAGATTTATGCATATTGTTATGATTCTTGATAATGTGCCTGAAATGTATCAAAAAAATTTACATTTAAATAGTGGATGTACATTGCCCTACAAATATCAAATTATGTGATTCTCAAAAGTGAATATCTGCTTCCATTTTGTAAAACTGCAATAATGCTGTTACAGTTCCTGAAATTTCTCGTATTCAATAAATATTTTAATTTTTTTCCTCTTATTAAAAATTTACTCAAAAATATTTATTATAAAAAAACAACGAACACCAGGTAACCAAAAAAGTTAGAGCAGTGTTATATTTGTTATTGTTTTAATACTGTTAATCAACATTTCTATTTATATAGAAGGATTAGGTTTACATCACATAATACCAAGAAGATAACGTGTCAGTTATATACGTATACATGTATAGCATGTACATATATAAATTAGGAGGTTTATGGGCTGGCAAACAGCCAAGGTTAACGGCCCACTGCGTGTTATCCTTATTTTTTGGTCTTTGATGCACCTTTTGTTTTAAACTGCAGCCATTTGAACGTCAATCTGGTTACTACTCTCAGTCAGTTCATTTTAAATAATAAAATATTTTCTTTCTCATGGTTTCAAAACCCATAATTTGTGCTTATTGTGTGAATTTATTGTTGGTAGTAGGGTGGGCAGCTGGTAAATTTTGCATAGCATTTTTTGACCGGATTGTCATATGCGACAAAAAATGGATCCTATACAAAATGGGAGTTTCTTTAAGTGTTAGATGTATGAACACTTTACTAAGAATTACTCCAGATCACGGTATGGCCAACATAATTAAATTTTTCACAGATGATTTCAAATTTTTTTGAATACCAACTCAGTCCCCAAGGACTGTGAAAAGTGGCAGTCCTTGGCAATGTTGGGACTGAATCAGTCTTCAAAGAAACGTCTGAGGAAAACTTAAATATGTCGATTTGTAGATATATTTAAGATAGTTTTTTCCTGATGATGACCTTAAAACAGATTGAAAGCTTGGCAGTAACAACTGAATTTGTTTTTTTCATCAAGACAATACCATTATCCAGAGTATTCACCAGTAACAGGAGGTTAAGCCATTGGCTGTTACCAAGACCTTGTCTAATTGATGCAAAAGTCAAATATTTACTAACGAAAGGTGATGCTTTGAGTCTTCTGGAGTAGGGTAGCCATTGTGCACTACGAACCTCTGTAACATGGCCAGATCATCACTGGAGAAACCTACTCAATTGCAATGAGTACCTCCTGCTCTTGAGAAGAGAAAAGGGAGTAAATTTTTGACTAGAACAATGCAAGACCTTATACATACAAAACAACAAAGAAGGCGATGAAGGCCTCACCCTCCATAAGGCCCGAACTGTCTTTCACCTTCCTTAGCAATGGACACTCACGCAATCGGGAGTTCAGTAATTGTCAACAGCTGGAAAATGAGCTAAATTTATTTTTAAGTCCCAAGACTCAAACTTTTATAAGAAGGTGCCAATAGAGATTATTTCTCTGAATAATATATTTTTAAACTAATTTTAATTGTGACAATTATTAAACCATTTAAAACTTGAACTTTTCTGATTACCTGGTATATGAGTATTTAATCATATATCTTATATAGTAATATATATTTGGAAGTGTCTACGTTTTGATAAATGGTTATTTAATTAAATTAGCCTGGTGTAGTATCATAGTATCATTTATTTTTACACAAAGGTACAGAAATAAAAAGAAATTATACTCCTTGAGACAATGCGCATAAAGATGTAGGTTGCTTAACATCTGCTGCTACACATTTCAGATATTCATTTGTTGCAGTGGTACAGGCTTTCAAAAATAATGCCTTTCATTTTTGCTGAATCAATCTAGATTTGCATAACATATGTTGCTTATGTTGTATATGCATTACTGATATTAAACAGTTTTTACATTGGCAGCAGTATAACCAATACAACTTTTGAATTTTGTTTAATTGCAAGTTTTATCAGTTTATCAAATAGCCGCATAAGTAATCAAAAGAAAGAGTTGAAATATTGCATTAGTGAATATTCTTTGTAATTTATAAGGTATGTAATGACCAGACAGGTCGTCTTAAAAGTGCATGACAGGGAATGTCTATTGAAAAGTCAATTTATGATGAAAGTACCTTGAAAATGAGAAGGATACATAAATTTATTGTAAGCATGTACGTTTTACAATTTTAAAACAACTTTTTCCATGTTAAGTTTAGATTTTCCCATCATTTTTCACATTATAGCTACTGTCAACTACCCTTGACTGATTCGATTGTCGTATTGGAATCCTGCATGATTGTAACTTCGAGTGATTCATGTATTATGCAAGTAAAATCTTGAGATGATAAAAAGCAGAGCATGTGCATTAAAAACAAATAAGTGTAGGACTCTGGAACTGTTTAGACCTACTGCCGCCGTGTTGCCCGCAAGTTACCCCGGAAAGTTAGGCTTATGATTTTAGTACATCGTCCATGGCACCATGTTTTATTCCATTTCACGATATTTCTCCAAGTTTTATTTCTATTTGTTCGCGACAGTGTTCACTAAAACATGTATTTCTCTCCATTTTTAACGGTTGGATCGATTAAGATCGAGCGAGGACCCACGAATCTGATTTCAGAGGCAGAGTCACCACGTCGAGCCAATCCTCAGGCCTGGGCAAGTGGCAGAACGGCGTTTGTATGATTCCTCCTTAAAGGAGGAAAGGTAAGCCTTGAAATATTATCTTGGTTCCTCGTTTCAACCTTCTTTACAGCTGAAAACAACAGGCCATAACAGGATTTGTTATAAGTCTAGATGATAAAACAGCATTTGCTTAGATTTTTACAACTAGCCATTTGTCAGTCATCCCTCATCGTTACACTCAGTTTACCACTTCAAAGCCCTTCACTCAACATAAGTCACCCCACTTCCTTTTCTACTCCATCACAGGCTTTATCCTGCAAAAGATGAAAGATTCCAGTACGGTTTTGCTTGGCACAATTCGTGCGTTGACTAGGACTCAAAGTGTACCTTTCAACCAGTGTGAGCCCTACTGGACTCTGGCGTCAGAGCTATCTCTCTTTCTTTTGCCAAGTTAGCTCTCAAGTTCTCTCACACAAACATGTTAGTACAGGGCATCGAATCCTCTCTCTAAATCCTATGGTATTTTAAATAGCACAGTAAAATCTCGTTACTATCCCTTTGAAACTATAATCCTGCAAATGCTAATTTTAACACTATTTCTACCTCAACCCCCTCCCCTGTTTTATGATATCCTTAACAAATTTAAAAATGTCAAACTGGCTGATGATTGATTTTATCTTCCCATTCCAATAGGCTCATCAGAGCAGATCATTTCGCAGACATTGATAAATGAGACAATTCTATCAAACCTGGCTTCCCTTCTACTTTTAACACTCTCTTTGGAACTGTAATATTTGGTCAAACACAAGTTAACTCTCAAACAACCTATTTGTCTCTCATAGACTATAACTCTTGACCCCAATTTCTTGTAACGGTTTTGGGAAATAGAGGAGTTGGCAGCTTCCATTCTAAAGGATGCTGATGATGTGCAAAAACCATTTTATGGAAACCATTATTGCTTACCATCAGGTCAATATGTTATTTCCTTACCCTTTTGAGTTGGCTGTTCCTCCCTCTCTACCAATCGAACGAATCTGCAGCATCTTTTTACTCCTTGCAAAAATGAATGTTAAGGTTTCATGAAAAATTGGAACCCTACAAAAGTTTATAAAAGAATATTCAAGTTTGAACTATATGTCTGTAACAATCACTTCTCCTTATGTCATTACTCACCACTGGGTCACCAAGGCTGACAGTTAAACTACCAAAGTAAGAGTAGTGTTTAATACATCCATTCCTGATCTTAACGGTTTGTCTCTTAATGACTACCTGCAGAAGGCCCAAAACTTCGGAAGGACTTGCCTGAAATTCTGACTAGCTTTACACTCCACTTTGCAGTTTGTTCTGACATCAAAATGATGTATCGGCAGATTCTTATATATCTTGCTGATAGGCATCTGCTATATATCTTTTACCTTGCCAGTAAAGCCCTACTAAACAATACGTATGTCGATGATTTGGTATCTAGAGCAAAAGACCCTCTGGAAGCAATAAAGCTTATTCAGGAGCTCAATGAATTGCTCCTGAATGGTGGTATGGAGTTGTGCAAATGAGTAAGCATCGATTCCGGATCTTGAAGGACATTCTGCCCTCTCATCTGAAAACTCAAGTCATTTTTTCTCGAGATGGCAAAATTCTCAAGGTTTTGGGTCTAATGTGGGACCATCAAAGGTTCGATAGGCAAAGTAAAACTTCCTCGAACCATTAAAATTCCTTGACTGTTCCCTGCACACATGGAGAGTTGTGTCTTCAGATGCAAGTCAACGAGGATGTACAGATATTCTGTACTTACAAGTCACCAGAGATGCAACATCCTCAATCCATTTTCTCAAAGAAAAATCCAAACTTTCACCCATCAAAACACTTACCATACCTCGGCTGGAATTATGTGGAGCACTTCTTTTAGCTCGTCTCATTCAGTCGTTTCTCATATCAGCAACATCATAAGTAGCCACCATCTTTTTTCTGATTCACAAATCGTATTATTGGTTGGCAGACACTGCCTCATCTTTTAAAGACCTTTGTTTTTAGTAGAGCTGTAGAAATTTTAGAAGCGGCCTGTCTTTCTGACTGGAAACTGTCAACTCAGAAAACAACCCTAGTGATTTAGCATTCAGGGGATTAGATCCAAAAACCTTTGTTAAATCTCATATGTGGTTTAACAGATCAGCATTTCTGAATAATCTTCCCCATTCCGGTCTCCTCCCTCCCTCTGTGCTCTCTCTCTTTTTCTCACTCTCTCTCTCTCTTTCTCACTCTCTCTCTCTTTCTCACTCTCTCTCTTTCTCTCTCTCACTCACTCACTCACTCTCTCTCTCTCTCTCTCTATCTATNCTCTCACTCTCTCTCTCTCTCTCTATCTCTCTCTCTCTCTCTCTCTCCTCTCTCCCCTTTCCCCTTCCCTCTCCCTCCTCTCTCCTCTCTCCTTCCATGACAGTGTTCACTAAACTCTCCATTTTCGATGGTTAAATCAATTAAGATTGAGCGAGGACCCAGGAATCTGATTTCAGAATTAAAGATACCACATCGAGCCGATCCTCAGGCCTGGGCGAGTGGCAGATCGGCGTCTCGGTGATTCCTCAATAATGGAGGAATGGTAAGCCTTGAAATATTATCTTGGTTCCTTGTTTCAACTGCCTTTATGACTGAAAACAGCTTTAGGCCATAACATGAACTTTTATGAGTATGGATGATAAAACAGCATATTTGCTAGCTTATGGCCTAGATTTATACAACTAGCCATTTTTTCCTTGAAGGAAGTTTTTAATTGATTTGATCATATGTCATCCCTACTATTTGTTTACATTGAAAACTATCTTCAACTTATCATTTTTCAATAATGCTTAGTTTTGTTTTCAATTACTCAATTAGTTAGCAAGCATTGCAGTTTGTTAATAGTGAATAGTTAAACAACAAAGTTTTTTTTAAACTTTACTCCTCAAATAAGCATCTTATAAACATAAGAACCAAGTTTATGTAGTATATTGACACATAAGATCATAAGCTAGTTCCGATCTGCAATATATAAAAAAAGAACCTTAAAGAAGATTAAATGAAAACTTGAAAAATGTGAAATTTCCAGACTGAAGGGGGAAAAGTAGTACTTCCTTAGCATCAAGCTACCGGATCAAACTGCAAATTATAACGAGACATTCGTTCAACAACTGTTCACCAAACGAAAACAATTAACAAGGGTCGGGTTGCTACATGTATTATTTAGTAAAAGGAAGGCTGTGTTAACATTTTAGTGACAGATTTTTAAGGAACTTTAATTCTTCACTTATTAAAAAAAAATTGTAACTAAAATTATTCAATAAAACAATGATGAATAAATTAGATAGGTTATTTTGTCAACTTGGTTGTGGGATCATATAATCGTTATTTTATACAAAAGGGTTTATTATATTTTGGGAATTTGAAAATAAAATAACTGTGAGATCTGTATTGCATTTAAAAACCAAATTATTTGTGCCAATTAAAAAAAAATGGAGGGGCAGTGTTTAAACTACTTGTATATATTCTAATAATTGATGTTGTATAGAATTAAGGGGAAAGCTGGTTTTTAACAATGTTCAAACATGAATACATTTTTTTTTAATTTAAGGGGAGGGGGAATCAAATTTAGAAAATAATTTCCAATCCTGAACGGTTTAACCAATATTTGTCTTAAATATTGAACAATTAAAAAAAATTATTGTAATGGAACTTAGTTATGGTTGTTATTGTTTTTGATATGAAACTTCTATAGTGCCAAATGTTTATTCAAAAGAGATGCTTTCTATAAATTATAACTGTTATTTAAAGTTGATTATAATAAATATGATTTTTTATTGTTGATATCATTAAATGTAAAAAAATGATGTAAATATTCTAAATATTTAAAAATGATACTATTAATTATTGAATAATAAGAGAAAAATTGAGCTTTAATGTACAATATTTGTGTATATACATATAAATATATTGTTTGAGGGATAACAAATATATATTTAAAATTTATCATTTTTGTTTACATTAAGACTTATTTTGAGTCTTAATTAATTAGATGGAAAACATGTTTATAACTTTGAAAGTATTTTTACATATCTGTTAACGACCAATTTATATAAAATATTTAGTCTATGTATTTTAGTTGACAACAGCCTTGTGGAAAATCTAGTGCAATACACAATTAATATAGGTTTAAAATGATAAATTCTCTTTCACAGCACAATTTTTTTTTTTTTTTTAAATAAAAATGAGAAAAATGTGTGAATCGTATAAGAAGTCTGTAAGGTGATGAGCTAGCTTAAAACTTGATTATCTTTATGTGCCAATTTTCGCTGGTTTTTATCTACCAGACAAATTTTTTCATACTGTCTTCACCTGTAGGTCACGGTTGTAATCAGAATGAGGCAATTGAGTTGGTTTAGAAAAATTCTAATAAAAATCAAGCCGATCAGGATGGTGAGGCATAATAAGGCTAAAAAAGAAATCTGTACTTGATTTTCTACAAAACTGCTATCTTAGGTCCTCCATGTTCCTACTTTGTCTCAAGTCTAAGGGTTTTTAAATAACGTATTTAAAAAAAAATTGATGTGTGTTCATTTCAAAATACTTCCTCTAAATCTAATAAATGTATTCAAAAATCTAGTTTTTCTCGTTTGTTTGCTTTGTGACAATTTTTGCCCCTTTTAGTACTTCGTTTATCGTTTTACTTTTATACTACAGAAATTAATGTGTATGTGTATATATAATGTGTGTGTTTGTGTATAAAGAAATAATAAAAGTTATATTTAAACAATTCGGGAGGAAGAATTACAATTATATATGAATAAAGTTTATTGATATTTTTGTACAAGATGTTTCTTATGTAGTTGGAAACTTTTTAAGTTTACTACATTTTTTTTGTTCAATGATATCAAATACTTTTCTAAATATAATTTATTTTGTTGTTTTCTATTTGGTGTTTTTACACAATTTAAATAGAAAACAATAGATACTAAAAAAAATATTGTCCTTAATATTTTATGATATACCATTAAAAGCATACAGAGAAAGATCTTTTAAAATTATTAGTACTTAAAATTAATTTGTGAGATTTATCCTACAAAACCAACGCTCTTATATAATATTTGTTACAAAAAAACAACAAAGTGTTATCTATTTTAAATCAGTAAAAAGAGTAAAATATAAATTATAAGTGACATTTTGTGCTTTTTTCCATTTGTTTTTGCCGTTTGTTTGCCCACTCTCTTCTAGTTGTGTGTCTCTTGTCACTGGGGTTTGGTTGTTGGTAAAGTTCGTTTTCTAACTTACTATTGTTTTGCAGCCAGATTTTGTTCAAATCGACGTTGATAGAGACAGAGAGAGGAATGAAACTGATGAATTGGTGCATGTTTTTGATAAGCATGATCCTTTTCTAAGTAGAAAGTCGACTCAGTTAAAGGATGCGGATGCTTTGCATAGGACTGAAGAACCTAATTTGAAATCTCCATGTAGAGATACATCCGTCAAAGCAACATCATTGGACAGGGAAGCACAAAAGAAATTCCCATCGGATTCAAACCCTTCTTATTCAAGGGTCTACAAACCTGAAGAGTTTAATTTAAACAAACCTTTTGAATATGATTCACGACAAAATTCTTATACTGAATACAAAGAAAAAAAGCCTTCTTGGGACTATGAAAGCAGGGAATCGTTTAGTTCTCTTGACAGAGACGATCGATTTTATGTTGGTTCTTCAGAGAAAGCGGGCAGTTCAAAAGACTTTATTGAAGGAGATAAATATTCTGATGCTATATCATCTTGTTTAAAAGATTCTAGCAAAATAGCAAACACGCCTGCACATTCTTCACATGAGTTCTTTGAGAAAAGGATTTTTTCAGATAAAGTTGAATATTCATCGTCAGAAAGTGATACAAATTCACTCCCAAGAAAATACAAGCCCATATTGAAATCGCCAATAGGAAAAAGACATTCTTATCACTATTCTGAATTTGTTAACGATAAAAATCAAGATGTGTTTAATTGGGATGTTGATAAATTACATAGTCCTGTTTCTTACCCGAAGAGAGATTATTCAGATGATTCTTATGACACAAGATCCCTTTTATTACAAACACATCGTGCAAAACCAACTTTAGAGTTTAAAAGTGCAACACTTCCCCGTACCAAAATCGTTAGGTTTAATACAAATATCCAACAAGTCCAACTTCCAGTTGATAAAAGTGATGAAGATGTTTTCTGGCCTTCTGAACCTGAATCTGAGCCTTTGCCTTCACCTTCAAAAGTCACTACCGTCTTTAAGGAAGTACCTTCACCATCAAAGGTAGAAGTCACAAATATTCATCCACCCATGACAAATTCAAACCCGACAATATCCTGCAATGTTTCTATCCCTCTGCATGTGATTAATAATGAGCCTAGGCAAACGAACACAAATCCTTTTATTGACCCTAGGCAAGCATTTTTTCGTATGCCTCAGGCGTATCAACACCACCCTATATATCCTTATTCTTATGTTTACGCACCTCTACAACCACCATTAGAAACAAATTTTGGATCCATGCAACCCTTATATCATCAGCTACCAGGACAAAATTTTTCATTTCCGATGGTGCCGATTTCTTCAAACCAAGTTCAGTTGGAATTGTCCAATTCTCAACACTATAATACACCGGTTATGACAACTGTACCTCAAGAGACTCGGGCTGGGAGCGATGGAAGTCCTAGTCCGATTAGATTGAATACAATACAGAATAGCCAGCCAGAAATTTCTGTCCCAAAAAAGGAAACAGACAAAAATATAGATAAAGACATGCCTCGTACTATTGGCGATGAAAATGAAAATCATAGTACATATCCGACAACTGTTTGTAGTTGTCACAATAGTGAATTATCTTCGACTTCTCTTGTCAAACAGGTCATAGAGAAAGAAGATAAGAGTAAAAAGTCAGACGCTGGTATTTTCAGATTCAGCCAATTTCAATCATTGAGGAATAAATTTGAAACAAACAATTCTCAAAATAACAACACTTTTATAAAAACGAACCCTTTCGCTGAATCTGCTTACAAATCAGAAGGCGCACACGACAATGAGGAAAAGCTTCAACACCGTCAGCCTTTGGTTAAGAGTTGTCTACTTTCTAGAGATGAATCGCCTCCGCCGCCACCCGTCAATTACGCAACGCTCCCTTCAACAAGTGAAATTCCCAGTTGGCAAGAAATATTTCTGAGCACACCCCCTCTTCCTGGGCCAGAGGATTTTGATGAAAATGCTAACTAACACACAAATTTCCAAAACTAAAGAACTTTTGTGTGAATAAACTTTTGATCTGAAAATAACTTGCATGGACATTCTTGTTTTTAGTTTTCTTTCTTTTTTTAATACTTAATATATTTATTTACTACATGTTACTTTACATTTCGGTCTCTGCCTTATTTTTTTTTCTTCGGGTGAACAAACTTTATTCTTGTAGTATTCTATTAAAATCATTGAACTCTTGGAAAACAATATTGAGTGCTTTCAGACAGTTGGAACAGACAGTGTTTGATAAACGAAAGGTGGAGTTAGAATTGTATATGAATGTATGATTTAAATTCTTAACTTGCTCTTCTTTAATATAGACAACAAACAACGGGAGTGAAGCAAAAACTCCTGAACCCAAGGCTTCAGTCAGTGATAAAAAGAAGTTTTTTGAGAAAGCTATGGAAGAACATTATCAGCCATCTCCTAAACCAGGTCAGTTTTCTATATTCCCAAATCATAACAATTTTCAACATTGGTTGCTCTATGCACTTATTAAATATAGTTCTAAATAATTTTCAATTAACATTTCAGAGAGAGTTTTCACTTTCCTCAGTCAAGATGAGGTCGAAAAGTTGAAGCAAGAAGAAGGTAAAGAGAAAATATTAGTCACACACCACTTCAATTTAATTAATTGTTTTTATATTACAGAGAAGAAAATTGCGTCCCTCAGAAAAAATGAGCTCAACATTTGGTCTAAGGCCGACGAAGATGGTGAAAATGATCTGTCTCCCGAAGCTGAAATTAATACGTAATATAAAATTTAAAATATCTCGTTATTCGATTACGTAAACATTTTATTTTTTAGAACCCCAAAACTCGATGGACTGAACATAGGAAGGGTCAGGAGTGCAAAAGCCGAGAGGAGAAGGAAAGAAAAATTGATTCAAGAGGTAAATTTGGTTCATATTATATTTTATAATACAGCCTAGGCACGTTTCTCCATTTTATTCTCATTTAAAAAAATTTTAAAAGGTTAAAATGTAAGATTAAAATTACAATATAGTGAAACCCTTCTATAACAAGTATTTGTGTCTGTTATTGAGTAGTGCTCGCTCAGGAGGAGTTTAAATTAGTTGTTATTTTTTAAATCAAGTTACGTTATTCATATGTTTGATAGATTTCAACGAATCCTATAAATAAATAAAAATATGTATGTACACAATTTAAACAAATAAATTAAAAAATCGATGGCAATCTGTTTTTGAAACTTGATAAAGACGTTTCATCCTCGTGATGCATTCTTAATTCATTCACCATGGCAATTCATTCTTGTATAAGTTGAGACTTGAGAGCCAAGTTCATTTGGCCAGTAAAGGTGGCCATTCATGATCGCTCCTAGCAGTCCAAACGGAGCGACGCCGTTCCAAAAACCACATCAATGGCAAAACTGAACTGGTATGCCCGGCTGTGCCGAATATTCAACCGGTCCAAACTCCATCGTGCCACTCCAAATATCTACGGCATGGCGCATTCGTGAATGGGAAAACCCTCGTTTTTTTTGGCACAGCCTCCGTCTTTCTGTCACTGAGCAAACATCTCCATCGTACATTCTCAAAAAGTCAAAAACGTTTATTCTTTATTGGTAATGACATCCAATCGAGATTTTATTGTTGAGGAGATTGATTTGTATGCAAGTTTACCATGTTTATGAAAGTGGTGGACAATGATTATATTACCACTATAGAAATAAAAGAATTTCGATCCTCAACCAGTTGGTCGTCGTTTTCAAAACAAAGGATACAAATGCAACGGGAGATGCGGTATGATAACCCCTAACAATGATCAGAAATCGTAGTAGAGAACTTAAGTTCTTTGTAGTTCATCCTTGCAGCGAGAAATCGTAATGTGGTTGCCAACCTTTCATGTAGTGATGATTTCTCTCATGACTGTCTTTTGTTTTCTAATCAAGGGGGTAATAATCTGGAGTAAATATTTATCTTTTTTTTGTAAGGTTTTGGTTGAAATGAAAAAAATAGTGTCATGAGGGGATTCGAATCCACCACATTCGGCTAAATACGCCGCTGCGCTAACCACTTGAGCTATCCTGACTTCAATAGTTCGATCCACTCGGGCACCAACTCCCCATCTCAACCTACAACCTTTCAAATTTTCTCTCTTTTTGCCATTTTTTGGTGTCGGAGAGGATCGAAGTCATGATAGCTCAAGTGGTAGAGCAGTGGCGTATTTAGCCGAAGGCCATGGATTCAGATCCCGCTCGTGGCACTAGCTTTTTCATTTCAACCAAAACCTTACAAAAAACATTAAATAATTGAAAGAAGTAATTTGGTCAATAGAACACTAAATATAATGAATAAATAAGACGTTTCATCCATCCTTAAATAGTTCCTCCAATCAGCGGGTTCAAGGGAAAGTTCTTTCATCAAATTGATGTGGGTATTACGGCTTCTGTTCAGGAGCCACTTCTTACACCATTTTCTCTTCGATTTTTTGCTTTTAATATGTAAATAAACAGAAGAGTAGCACAAGAGATCGTCATCCATTTTGAGAAGGTAATTCACTGGTTGACGTTCGGAGCGACTGGCTGTGGAGCGGTCGTGAATGCCCCCTCAAATTTCAGGCACTCCAATTGGAGCTGTACGGGTTGGCGCGGTTCCATTTGGAGTGATCGTGAATGGCCACCTTAACAGACCAGAGTGACAATTTATACCAATTAGGGTCATCCAATTTAGAGCAGAGGGGTAAGAAATTTTAGGGTTTTTTTGGAATATATGAAGACAAAGTTTCCAGAAAAGTAGGAAAAAAGAGTCGTCAAATGGCGAAAAGAGAAGCAAAAGAAGCTTTCAAAAACATACCTAGATGTAGATGTAATATTCAGTATATCGGTAGTTTCCCCCGTTCTGTACCTATAGCACACTTGATGAATCCTAATTCCTCAAGAAATTTGATCAGTCAACAGGCCGGTTTCAGTGGTTTGCACCGTACCTTTGTAATTACCAAAAATGGATTACCAAAATATGTTCCAATGAACATAGACCAGAATAAGTGAGGAGGATCAGAACTTCCACTCTAAAAACTGAGATGAAAAGTACGCACAATTTCCTAACATAAAACAAATCTTATTTTCTCAGTGAATGATTATGTACCATACCAAACCTACCTTTGGGGCCATAACAAATATTTTTTATATGGACATTTATTATATTTTTACTGTTTACATTCATTATAGAGGGGTGAATTACTCTGATGGGGACTGATGGCAGTGCCTATGACTGGTATTGTGGGGTTCTGTTGCAGAGGGGTTGAAAATGTATAGAAATCCTATTTTTTCCCCCAGGAATGCAAAAATGGTCTGTTAAGGAGGTGGTGGCTATAGAGGTGTTTCGCTGTAATATTTTATCATGGTGTAATTTCACAATAAATTTTGAGACAAAGGCGCTCTAATTTGATTGTCTCTTATCATCCTAGTCTTCTTATCGGCAATTATTGTTGGTTTTGTCGTTTAAGAAGCTTCAGTGCCTTTTGTATAATTCTGATCAACCATTGAAGATGGTAGATAATAAAATACTTTAAGGGTCAATCCAGGATGATAGGAAATGACCAAACTATTGTTCCTTAAAAAGAAATTTCATAATGCAATTGATGTAATTTATTTTCCTCATATCCATCCCATTGGTATTTTATAACTTCAGATTTTAATAGTGTTAATTGGTTTAATTTTAGGGCTTGCTGAGTGAGGATGAGGAAAAGGACCTGTCACCTGCTGAGCAAAGGGCTTTAAAAGCCGAAAAAAGAGCAGCATGGAGGCAAGCGAGGTTAAAATCATTAGAACAGGTATATCTTATAATATTACAATACAATTTTATAATTTACAGTCAAAGTTAATAATATTAATTTGTTCAGGATGCTCTTCAAGCACAGATGGTGATCAAAACAATGACTGAAATGATTGATAGCAAATCAATAGGCAATGACGATGTTCCAGATGCTACCTTAATAAATAATAACCAGGCTGTTATGGATCATGAAAACAATCTTGCTGAGGTAAATAGATTTTGAACAATTACAAATTATTCACCGTGTTGTCAATAATACAAATGAAGCGATAGGAAAGTTATAAGGCTGAACAAAACGAAAAAAGAAAAATAATTGGAACATTTTTTAAAGACAAACTCAGATTGTAACATATAAAAGTAGCAAAAAGTAACATTTTGTAATAACTACTCAGATATAGTAAAGGTGCTGGTTTCTATCTAGCAATAACTGGCGACAAACATTCATTGACTCGAATTTTATTTGTATGAATGTCTCATAACAGTAGTGTTTCCACTGTAACATTTTTATATCTTTTTAACAATATTAACATTCCTTTGTTAATCAAAAGAGCCTTTGATTGAGAGGAGGGGGTTAAATATTTGGAAATATGTTTATTATTTAATGGTATTATTCTCATTTAATTTTTAATATCTAATACTCAACTTACTCAATGCAATAACCTTAAAATCAAATTAGTTTAATTATTTTATTATTAACAAAACAGAAATCTTTGAAAAACAAGTTTTATTTTTAGTTTGTATATTAATACAAAAGTGCATACAAAGTCCAAATATTTAATTCCTACACCTTATTTTGGAAATCTTCCTACTAATTCTACAAAATTTAAAATGAGTGAGTGAGAGTGTGGTGGATTAACACCTGGGGGCGTGAAACAACTAGGATTGGGTGCTGAGGCCATCGAGTGACGACTTCCCCCAGCTATCGGTGAAGGCTTCACCAGGGCAAATTCGTGTCAGAGAGTCAGAGCGACTTGTAGGTGAAACTGTAACGACAAGGACTGAGGAGTACACCGACCCGTTGTCTGGCGAAACCAGGCTCAGAACAGTTGAAATCGTTGAGAAGCTCATTGAAAAAGAGGTGGGGATCAAATGGCGAGGCACCGGAGAAATCAATATACATATGGACCATGCATGATGCATGCACACTGTATTTTTTTTTTTTTTAAATTTGGTTCAATGGTCAATTTTGGATTTTTCTTTTCTATATATGTATATTTTTTAAATTATCATCTTCACTAGTGTTGTGTACTGTTGGGTTACTTTTCAAATAGTAGTTTAGCAATTCAATCTCTTCCATCGAAAAGCAGCTGGTGAAGAAGGTTTAAGTTTGTTCAACTTAATGTTTCTTCAGTTTTCAAGTTCAACTTACTTTAAGTTTTTACGCATTTTATTATGTAAAATGTTAAGTTCTCAGTTCAGTATTAAATTGATCAAATTCATACAATAGTTAACACCAATACACCCTTTTCACATTTTCAAACTTATAAAAGGATCCGATGTTTAAAAAATAACTTGATCAACTATTGAAGATGTCTAGATGCTGAAGTATGTTATGAACGACAAAACCAGCATGAATGATTAATGGCAAAACAGGATGATTGGCGATGATGAAGCGA